CTCACACACATAACCGCGCGCGCGCACACACACACACACACACACACACACACACACACACACACACACACACACACACACACACTGTACTTTATAGATGTTCTTTGGAGAGCAGCTCAGGAGTTAAAGTCACAGATTCAAACCAGACAGGGCTCATGATCAGGGATAATAATGAAACTGTCTTTTGTGGTCTGTACAGTTTTCCATGCCTTGGCATTTTACAGCCGTGCATGTCTTTGGGACTGTGGTCAGCCGGCTGGCAAACACACAAGCTCATGACTCTCGAGCTGCTCCATTTCCCTCCATTTCTCCTAAATGATTCCAGAGTGGGATCTGTGAAGATGTCTTTGTTGTTGCTGTTCTCTATTAGATCTGTTTGATATCTTTGTCTCTGTGTATGTGTTAAACAACACATTCACATTGGTCTTTTTTATGAATATGTCAAAGATAAACAGATGGATAATCCTTAAGCATCACAGAAACAAGAGGAAAACCTCATTTTAAAACACAGCGTCTGACGTAAACACCCAGCAATTACGGATAAGCTTAGTTTTTTCCATTTGGGCGAGTAAAGGGGCTATCCACAGGATTGGTAAATGTTTGTACCAAAGTATTTATGAAGTATAAAAACATACAGCACTGTTTACCATACCAGACATAAGTGTGAAGCAGCGTTTCCTCCAGGGGGGCGTCTTGCTCTTATTCATTTCGGAACGCCCTGAACTCGAGCCAAGGGCGTCCAAAAAAATGTATAATTCGAGAAGATCGAGGTTTTATCTCTTGAAATGACGAAAAGGAAAAAGGACAAGGACATCCCTCTGTTGGAGGGGCAAAGGAGCCTGGTGGGATTATTTTCGCCGCCAGCAAAGCGTGTTCCTGTGACGGAAAGTGTACTGCTGGCGAGCCTTGACTGGGGGTGCTAGTGGAGCACGCGTGTGAACTAAACTGAGGCTCCGTGGTAAACTGTGGTAACATGAAGAGCCGTTTGGGAGCCGAAAGAGCCGGCTCTTCTTAGTGAGCCGAGCCAAATGATCCAGCTCACTAAAAAGAACCGGAATTCTCATCACTAATACGTAAAGAGATAGTATCTATAACTTAAGGGACGGCTCAATTCAGCCGCTCTCGGGGTGGACGCTCTCTCAGCCCTGGTCTGACGGAAACACTGGTGTGAAGTATCAAATATTTCTTTTATAACTTTCAGATTAAGTCTTCTTCAGTCTTATTTAGGCCTACATTTACTAACTGTTTATCAGTATATCAGAATAATGTTGCTTCACATTTAGCTCTGGTTTATTTAAGGTTTTATTCAACATAATACCTTATTATCTCAATGTAATCTTCCGTAATTTATGGATGTGTGACTCACAACGGCAATTCATTGTTTCAGCCGGTAAAATAAATACTTGACTGAAGGATATTGGGTGTGATTGGTCAACCGCTTGGAGATGTCCCGCCCCTTAGTTTATCACATACAAGGTATCGGAGCGCTAGCCAATAGGAGTGCGAGTGTTTCATAGTGATGCCATTATGTTCCTGAAGTAAACAAAGGAGTCCAATGGAGGCGTTTCAGGCAGGCAGGCAGGGGGGGGGATTTTAGCCTTTGCAGACCATTTACTTGCACAAAAATCTATAAACCGCTACAGGAAAGGGAACACCCCAAAAAGCAGAATAGGGCCTCTTTCATTTTTCATATAGATAGAAACTGTTTGGTGAGATTTGTGAGATTTGCTTCTCTCTACAAAACGATGGTTTAGCAGTATAGGAAAGGCCAATATTATCTTTTCCACCACTACACAACCACATTTGTCTGCACAGGATTGAAAAATTAGGCAATCCTCTAAGTAGCCATTTTATGATTTAGGCTCACATAACAGGAAAGCTGTGTGTATTATTCAGGATCACTCCATTTGGTTTTATCAGTTTCTGTGAAAACAAACGTTAAAATGGACATCATGATTTTGTAAAGCGTGCAAACATCTGTTAGGGTTTTTTTCCCCTCAGGCTGCTTTTTCGGGCATATCTCAGACTCTAACGTTTCTTATTTTTCAGTTTGAGAAAATAAACTGTCTCTGCTCGGATGATTAATGCGATAAACTGTGGGGCTCGGTGCTTTCAGGACTCGACCCGGGATCATGTTACCAAAGCAGGGCAGTGATTTAAACCAGGTTCCTGTTTCCCAAAGGGGGGTTTACAGTGTGCACAGAATACATTACTGATGCTACATGATCCACCATTAGACCAAACTTTACCCAGCTGCTGTCTGTTATTCACACTTTCATATATTTCACTTTTCTACAGGAACCTTGATTTCTGGCTGTCGTCCAGCTACTCTGACTCACACCTGAAATATCTCGGCACGTCTTCAAAGAGCTTCCACTAAATTAATCTGTAATGTCGGCCATCTTTCTGTAAAGCTGTCATCCTGTCAGTCTGTTAGTGACCACAGTGTCAGTCATTTGGGCGTGGAGCGAAGTTAACTTGCAGTTGTACAAAGAAGTGATGTACAATGATTTAAGAGCTAATGACAGAGTAGTGTTATCCCCACATGGTTACAGTATGTACTGACGCAGACTGCTGTACAGTAGATTGTGGTGTTGAAAAACCACAGTCTTTTTGCTGCTCCTATGGATGAACCCAATGGTCCTCTTTCCTCTGTTATAGATGGTTATAGATTATAGTGTTTGATAAGACTCTTAAAGTGGTTGGTTTTTATCTCTAAAGATGAATCAGACTTTTGGTCAAAATAACCCGACCCATTTCCAGACAGCATTGATGATAGTTTTACTGTTATCCATGAATTTATGTGGGCTAGCTAACCTATGCTAACTAGCTGCGGAGCTTCTTAACATAACGGCAAATCAGTTTTTTTTTTTTTACAGTTTGTATTGTATGCTTTCCGCCTCACTGGCTGTTATTGGAGTTCAATTTGAACAGGCAAATAAATCTAGAAAAAGACATTTAGGATTGTCATCTTGGGCTTTGTGACTGATTGATTGTTCGCATTAGTCACCATTTTTTATTAATTTGTATGACCAATAAACTAATACATCAGTGGAGAAGATATGCAAATTAGTCAACAATAAAACTAATCTAATTTAAAGTGCCCTACACAAGCATTAACACACAAAAGAAGTAAAACAGAGAACCACACTATTTATAAAAGAGAGAGAAGATAGTTTAAATTGAACATTGGAAATACAAAAGGCGCTTTCACACCGGAGTACTTTTGCCGTACTTTTCCCAGAAATATTTCCGATAGTTCCTGGGATGTAGCGTTCACACCAAAAATATATTTTTTCGGGAACCTTTCTCCCCAGGAAAGTCCCTACTAGAGAGCAGGGACTTTCCTGGGGAGAAAAAGGTTCCAATTTCTGATTGGCTGGGCGAATTGCAAACCACGCCCCGTAAAACTCTGAAAAGTGTTTGTGAAGCCGCCATTTTATTTCCTCGCATTAGCATTATTAGCATTATACCATCGCACCAACGGAGAGAGAATAACTTATGGCAACACAAAAGAAAACATGGGAGTGATGAGGAGGTGTCGGCGCTTCTGGCGATTTACTCTGAAGGCTTCAACTCCGGGGACTTCGGGTGGCAGTATACGCTGTGAAGTTGTTTGCGGCCTGCCACTAAACCCAAAGCAGAAGAAGAAGAAGAAGTGACGTC